TACACTGCTATGTTTATTGCAGCACTATTCACAGTAGTTAAGCAATAGTATCAACTTAAGTGTCCATCAGCAGATGAATGGATAAAGAAAAGGTGGTATATAAGCCAGGTGCATTGGTACATGCCCATATTCCCAGCTACTCTGGAGGGTGTGGTGGGAGGACTGGTTGAGCCTAGGGGTTCAAGGCCAGCCTGAGCAACAGAGCAAGACTCCTCCATCTCTTAAAAAAAAAAAGAAAAGAAAAGAAAACGTGGTATACACACACACACACACACACACACACACACATTCAGCCATAAAAAATGAAATTCTGTCATTTGTGGTAACATGGATAAAACTAGAGGATAATTATGTTAAGTGAAATAGCTAGGCAAAGAAAGACAAATACTAAATTATCTCACTCATATCTGGAATTTTAAAAAGTTGATCTCACAGAAGTAGAAAGTGAAATAGAGGTTACCAGAGGCTGGAGAAGGTTGGGGTAATGGGGAGGGGAAATTAGTAGAGTCGGTCAACAGGTACAAACTTATAGTTAGATAGAAGGAATACGTTCTGGTGTTTTATTGAGTAGTAAGGTGATATGATTTTGCTCTGTGTTCCCACACAAATCTCATCTCAAATTGTGATGCCCACATGTCGAAGGAGAAACCTGTAATCCCTACGTGTTGAGGGAGGGAGGTGATTGAATCATGGGATGGGGGGGTTCCCCTGTGTTGTTCTTGTGATAGTGACAGAATTCACACAAAATCTGATGGTTTCATAAGGGGCTCTTCCCCCTTTGCTCTCTCTCCTCCTGCCATTTTGCAAAGAAGGTGCTTGCTTCTCCTTCTACCATGATTGTAAGTTTCCTGAGGCCTCCCCAACCATGCAGAACTTTGAGTCAATTAAACCTCTTTCCTTTATAAATTACCCAGTCTCAGGTAGTATCTTTATAGCAATGTGAAAATGGACTAATACACAGGGTGACTATGGTTAACAATATTATATTGTATAACTCAAAATAACTAGGAGAGAAGATTTTGAATGTTCTCACCACAAATAAATTATAACTGTTTGAGGAGATGAATATGCGAATTACCCTGATCTGATCATTATACAATGTGTACTTTTATCAAAACATTACACTGTTCCCCATACATGTGTCAATTAAAAAGAAAATAAAACTTTAAAATATAGATCAGGCCCACTTGTGGCAGACAGTTACATGCTTGTAAAAGGCACTAGAGTAAAAGTTTAATAAAAATTTATGAAACATTTTCATATTAACTTTTCTATAATACAGACCCCTCAAATGTCACAAAATTTCCATGCCACCATGGTAAGCCAAGAAGAATGGTTCTCCATACCCTTTCCTGATTAGGAAGGTGAGATATCTTGATGTCTAGCACCCATTTTAATTGCTTTGACTGCCCAAGGACTAGCATAAATAGTGTATCATCATTACTACTACAAACATCTAGAGGCCAGGCGCAGTGGCTCAGGCCTGGAATCCCAGCACTTTGGGAGGATCACCTGAGGTCAGGTGTTAGAGATCAGCCTGGCCAACATGTGAAACCCTATCTCTACTAAAAATACCAAATTATTCAGGTGTGGTGGCAGGTGCCTGTAATCCCAGCTACTCAGGGTGCTGAGGCAGGAGAATCACTTGAACCTGGAGGTGGAGGTTGCATTGAGCTGAGATGGTGCCATTGCACTCCAGCCTGGGAGACAAGAGTGAAACGGTCTCAAAAACAAACAAATAAACAAACAAAAACATCTAGAGTCAAACACATATTCTTAGAAATAGCCATTATAATCCTTTAAGAGTATTGTGATAAAGACTTTTGAAATGGAATTTCATGTCTAAAATCTTACTGGATGGCACATTAAAACGTCTATAATTCCTTGAATGATAAATTTTGTCATACTTTAAAACCACAGATTTGTGGTCCTAAGCATTGCTAGGCCTTAATCCTCAACTTGGCGTAGTTCTAGGTTTCTTATTTTGTTTTCAAAACTTGAAGATTGCAATGCCTCCAGCTTCATACGCACTGGCTTGCATACCCATTTACAGATCTGGGAAGAGTTCTTTCTTAAAGGTAAGTCCCTTTGTTTCCCTATTGTTCTCTTGAGTTCCACTCCTTCTCTCCCACCTTCTCTCCCTCAGATCTTCAATGTAGATGACAGGATTTTGACTCTTCTTGGAATGGTTCTAAAGGAAGCTGCTTAATGAGAAAGAAAGAAAATTTTCGATACATCATTTAAAAAAATATATATTCTTTTGATACTTTTATCATGGTGCAGGATTCAAAAGCATGCTGTGTACACACAGAAGCAATGAAAAAAGAACCAGGAGGAAGGCTGAAAATATTCCAAGTAACTTTCTCCACTGGGATGTTAAACTGAGCGTTTTATGGAACACAAAGAAAACAAGAAAATGGACATGCTGTTGTACCAAGTAACAAAATAAATAAGAATATTTTATTAAATTAATGCAGGTACAAAAAGTGACGATCAAATACACAGTTAGATATCATCTCTGCCTATGCTATTTATGATGAAACTGAGACAAAAGGGATATGCCTTACAAATCCAACACAAGGAGTTAGGTTAGGAATAGACTGGGCAGATTGTGTGTCTTGCTCAGACACAATTCCTGCCTGTAATTCACACAAAGGACACTGTCACACAAATTACTATACAAATGCACATGTACAAACAGATAACACAAGCAGCTCTGTTGGAAATTCTGTTTCTTCAGCCTTGACGTTGGCAAAGCCAAGATATTCCTTGTCATCAAAGCCAGAATATGGGCAAGAGGGAAGGGAAACACTAGGATCTTCCAGAGCATCTGAATCTCAAAAGCTCCAGAAATCCTCTTAGTTGACCTGTGTAGTGATGACGGCTGGTTGCATTCAAGGGTTCAAGCACAATGAATGAGGCTTTTCTGGCACAGGGTAGCTAGCAGTCAGGCTACACTGCTGGAATTTCCAGAAGGAAAATGTGATTTTGCAAGTACAGCATCAAAGTGAAGTTTATACTCAAGAGAAAGCAGAAAACAAAAGTTCCAGATATGATTCTGTCATACAGAGTTAATAATAAGATGGCTTTTTAGAACTAGATTGACTCAGTGCACCCTGGAGAGCCCATGGGTCTCCTTTTGAGCAAACATAAACAAATCCAAACTCAGTCCTAGAGCAAATACTTAACAAATGCTGGTCATCTAAATATATATGTAGCACATATTTAACAGGTAATAAATCATATGAAAGATAATAAAAGGCTATGGGAAAGATGACTTAGAAACAAAGAGGACATGGGTCCTGACCCCTGGGGACTTTGAAATTCATTCCATCTACTACATAAGAAACACTATAATAAATAAAAATAGTAAAGTGCACAGCAGACATATAATGTGTTACTACACATTTAAAATTTTTTAAAAATATGTGTTTTTAACATACATTTCCAAATGTAGACCGTCTTTAGAAGAAAACATGAATAAAAGGCAGTAGCAGTTGCTCTGGAAAGGAAACCTGAATGGCTTGGAGGATGAAGTGGAGATTTTCAAACCTTCTCCCATGAGATTTTTTGGATTTTGAATCATGGAAGGGTATGAATTTAAAATTTAATAGCATTTAAAGAGAAAAGAAAGAACTTTTAAACAATACCAGACACTATATAGGTAAGCATTAGATTGTATGGCAAAGGCAAATAAATCAGGGATAAATATAATGCTAGAAAAGGAATTCCAGTGTTATTTTCCAGAGTTATTTTAAGTACTGACCTCTCCTTGTAAACTAAAATTGCTTTGATTATTAAGATGTTTAAGTATATCCAACTGTCCCAGACCCCACTGGCCTATTTCTCTTCTTAGCAACACTGCTTAGCTTTTCTCCTCACATTATCCTTATGGTATGACACTGGGCTAAATTATAATAATACATTTTCTTATTAATCTCCTCATTATACTATGAGCTCCTTGAGGACAGTTACTTTGTCTTGCTCACATCTGTAGATTCAATGCCCGGCATGTGATTGATACTTCATGGGTACTTAATAAATGGTTTTTTAATAAATGAATTGCTTAAAGTAAAATATAGCTGTAAATTATATTCTAAAAGGACAGTGGGTGGCAGTCTGAGGTCTTTTATTTACTGGTTTGGGCAAGTTACTTAATCTGTTTGCTTCCTCAGCTGAAAAATGGGTAAAATAATAGTGGTTATCACAACAGGGTGTACAGGGATGAAATGAGATTATGTGTGTAGGGCACCACATAGTTGTAAAGCTGATATTTAAATGGAACAGATGCTGCACAGACATTTGAGGTCTGAGAATAAGATTAAGTCAATTAAGTATTAATGGGTTAAATAAATGTGACATCCTATACAAACCAACAGTTTGATTTTTATGCTTCCAGTGTGTACTTCTAGTTATAGAGACCAAGCACCTTACAAATACTCCATGTTTTACTGGATGTGAGCAAGTCATTAAGCAGCAAGTTTAGTTTTGTGACAAAATTTTAACATCTACTACAATATATCTTCAACAGAAATCATTCACAACCCCACTCACATGACAGGACCTCACAGACTCAAAATAAATAGAAAAACTCATACATAAATACTGTTCCAACACTGAGACTCTCAGTCATGCAGAAAACAAATCGAGGCATTGAGTGAAAGCAAAGGGCACTTCTGCAGGAACTGACCCTCAAATTAGGGATTCTCAACCTGTTTTCTTCGGATGAAAAATGGATGATTTGCTTGGAGGCTCCTTGTTCAGAAGTATCCTTTCTCCCTTTCACATGCATCAGTGAGCCCCTCAGTCATTTGAAAGTACCAAGGTCTCCCTCCAGGCTCCCGGTTCAATTCCATCTTTCTTTATTCTCCTCCTCTGCTTTCGCCAGGTTCTATTTTCAGTGCTTGGGCCTTTTAAGTCCTACATTGCCTGCATCCTACAGACCCATTCATTCCTCTGGTCATGCTCAGCCCTGATGAACTCCCAAACCACAGGCTGAGAATCCCTGCTTGAAGATCAGAAGTTTCAATGTTGGATTACGTCTCCTCCAATTGTGTATCTGGAAAGCAATAATAGTATATTAATTTTACAGGGAGCGGTCTTGAAAAAGTAACAAAAAATCTAATAAAAAACATAACTCATAGCTGCTGATATGATAAATGATAAATTTGAAATGAGAGAAAGAAGCAAGTTGTATTTGTGCCCAATTATTCTTACATGATAAAGGGCGAATGGTTTGCTTGGGACTTTTCTGGTTTTAAAACTGAAAATCTGATATCCTGAAAAACCCCTCAGTCCTGAGCAAATTGAGATGGCTGGTACCCCAGCATGACCCAAACAACATTTGCCACTTAGCTTTACAACACAAATGATGCGGGCCACAGAATGAAACTTGCCTGAGCTTGTCCAAGTTAATTAGACTGCTTTAAACTTGGGCTTATTGTTAAGTTTGCTTTCTAAATACATTTAAAAAAATTAGAAACCTTAATATAACTTTCTTCTTAGTTCAATAAAGTGGGTGAGGCTTTTCTGCCCTGCTTATAATTGTAGACATTTGTAGCAAAATGGATTGAAGCAGATGTGTTAAGAGTAAGGGTCTATGGTTAGGCTAATGGCATCCAAGCTTGATTTTTGTCTTCACCTGTGTGTTCTCGGGCACTTTACACTATCTTCTTGACCCTAAGTTTTCTCTACTATAAAATTAGGATAATTCTAGTCTCTCTCTGTCTTTGCTAATAGCAAGGGGTAAGTGATTAAATGAGATACCGTGCATGGTGCAGTTAACATAGTATTACAATACTGACACACAATATTTTAGAATCAATTAATTATCCATCCACCTAAGTCAAACTTGTCCCCTGCTGCAGGCAGATGCTAGGGTGCAGGGCAACAGAAACTTAGGAAAGAGAAGCTGACTCCTCCCACTTCCCTGCTCCTCTCCTCTCTCCACAGAGCTGCTCCCGACTCTCTACTCTTGAAGGCCATCCCTAGACCTCCTCAGATGGAGGGAGGAGTTCTTGTGTTAGCTGTGAGGCAAAGGGGAGCCAGCATTCTTTAAAAGGAGAGGAGATTATGACTGATGGATTTCTCCTTGTTATTGCTTTACCTTTTTGTTTCCTTTGCCTTCTACTTCCCAATCCCTTCTGATATTCTTACCATTTTGCTTCTTTGAGTTTGTATCTCTGATGCCACATATTTTCAAATCCATCATTCTCCCTTGAAAAAAAGAAGTAATTTTTATTTCCATATAAAATTTCTGCATCCAATACAGTGACCCAAGTTTACATTTCAAGTTCTATGAAACATTTGTAATCCCTAGGAAGTCTGCTGGACATCCTTATTCCACAGCTCCCAACTTCTGAGGTTAATTAATTCAACAGTGTAGGGCACATGCTTTTGATCCTAGATTCCTTTTTGAGGACTATATACTTTTATTTTTCATCTTTTTCCCAGAGATGGACCAAATTCTGAGGTATTTTATTATCTATTGATTTCTAGTCATTTCTACAAACAACTAATCTTTTTTTCCAGAGAAATATTCAAAATGCAAGCTGGCAACAATGATTTATTTGCATAAATCAACTCCATCTCAGGATCTTACTGGCATTGAAACTTGATCCTTATATTCTCACTATCTCAGTCCTGTTAAGAAAGTAATTTTTGGAAATAGCTCATCTCTACTCTCTCAGTTAACACTACTTTCCCCCACATAAGGAGTTGTGGGGAATTTTTCAATGACTATTGGAATTCCCTTCCATATTCTACTTCCCTATTTAACATCAGACAACTCTATACTGTCACTGGATCTCTTGTTATACTTCTCTAAGTATTGGAGGAATTATTTACTCTGAATTGTCTTAAATGGGAGGAAATTATTTGAATACACTCATTTTCCTGGATTTTAATTGTTCTCACAGGTAAATGGAGAAATGAACACATGTAAATTATGTAACATCCTCTACCATACATTTTGCAAAATACTCTATAGTAAAAAAGTACAGCTCTATGGAGGAACTATTTTTGTTACTTAGGGTACCCAGAAATCAGCGGGGTGCAACTAATGCAAAACTAAATGTAACTGAAAGTGACAGGCATTTTAGCCCTTTCTCTTCTGTAAGTCTATGGTTATTTGCATGAAAGAAAAATTATATGACACTGCATCTTCTTTCACCTCCATCCACACCCATCCTCCTACCCCTCACCCCTTACACTTCATCTTCACCCAGTGATCCTACTCAGCTTCAATATAATTGCTGTTGAATAGTGGAATGCCTTTGCACCACCTTGCAGAGGTTAAGTCAGGTTTCCTTGCAGCCTTGATCCAGTTCTCACCCCCTCCTCATCCCCAGGGAGACCACTGCAATTAAGGAAATACTACCTTTTCTTAAATAGAAGATGAATGTCAGTGCTACACCAAGGAATAACAAGATGGCTCCCAGAATTACCAAGTGAGTCCTTTCATTTGGAGGAAGTACCAGAGGTTGTTCTGAAAAACAAAACAAAACAAAAAGAACCTGACTAAAGATAAAATTTTGATGGGAAGGGGTCAGGAGAATAGTCATCCTTGAAGTTTAATTTAGCTTTAGATTAATTTTCTTAAATGCCAAAGTTTGAGTGGCTGGAATGGTAAGATACCTCTGTTAAAATGGGAACAACATGGAGAAGTCAAAGAAGCCCAGGCTTTGAGCTGGGGCTAAATTCTGCTGCCCTTAACCAATTTTGAGGTCTTGGGCAAGTGACTTAACCAGCGTACAAAATGCAAATGCTAATACCTTTATTGTGAGGCTAAAATGTATAAAGTGCTTAGCACAGTACCACATGGAGTGGCTACTCAGTATTAAATGGTGGCCTTGATTATTTCACTTTCTTTTGTTTTTGTTTGTTTGTTTGTTTGTTTTTTTCAGAATCTTGCTCTGTTGCCCAGGCTGGAGTAGTGGTGTGATCCTGGCTCACTGCAACCACTGCCTCCCAGGTTCAAGTGATTCTTGTGCCTCAGCCTCCCAGGTAGCTGGGATTACAGGTGCACACTACCACATCTGGCTAATTTTTGTATTTTTAGTAGAGGCGGGGTTTCACCATGTTGGCCAGCCTGGTCACAAACTCCTGACTTCAAGTGATCTGCCCACCTTGGCCTCCCAAAGTGCTGGGATTACAGGCTCCTGGCCCCTCTTGCATCCTTTAATATGGAAGCTAATAGCCTAGCTTTAATATGGAAGCTAGTGTACATGGCAGAGTGGAACATGGAAGGCCAACCAGAACTGCTAAGGAGGTCCCACCTCCTCCTATCTGTGGTCATGATTGGAGACCAGTGCTTATTGTCTTATCTTTCTCTGCAGTTTGAACATCTCTGGACAACTAGTCACTGGTATCTCTTACTACGCTCCTTGTCTGGGGTCCCATGCAGGAGGAAAAGGGGTCCCACTGCACACAAATGTTCAGAGGCTGTGAACTCCCACCTCTCACCCTTAGTCAGCTTCTGCCTGGCTCAACTCTCCACTGAGACCCATGATCCATTTCTAACTACCCAGTTGAAGCTTTAAAGACACAACAACAGCCAGACTTTTCTACAACTTACACTTTACAATGCCTGTTCATATGTATTTTATTTCAGTTTTAGAACAACTGTGAGTTAGGCATGCCAGGCATTTAAAAAAAATCCCCAATTTACAGATGAGGAAACAGACTACGCACAGTTAAGTGAGTTATTGTAGGCCAACCAACAGATAAGTTGTCATAAAACAGCTTTTAAATGGCAGGAACCCGCTAATCTAGTTTTTACTGAAAGTCAATTGAGTACTAAGGGCTCATACCCTAGTGAGAGCATCCCCTTCATTTTCTAAACTTTTTTGCCCTCTGTCTGTTCACAAGACCATCCTGGATTAACTTTTCCTATTGATTGAATTTCTGTCAAATTTTTCCTGAAGCACATAGCGTTTTTCTATCAGCGTCTATGGGGGGAAGGGGCAGTGAGAAGCTCTTCTCTGAATATCTTGGTGTTTATGTTAAATATCTATCATGCTCACCCACCTCACTTTCTTTCACATTCTGAGCCTCTCATCAGACTCTGTCTCCCACCCTACCTACTTCTGTAGAGTAGCAAGATTTAAAAAAAATAGTTGAATTTCTGCAGGCAATGGTTTAATATCATTTTCACACATTTGCTAATTTGACCCTTACAATAACCTTGCTCAGCAGGTTATAATCCTACAGGGAAGGTGAAGCACACAGAAGTCTAGTAATTTTCCCAGGGACACACAGACTCATGACCTGTGCACTAAGCAGACTGCTAATGTTGAAATATTGTGGACTACTTGGGAGAGGCACAGGGGAGAAAGGGTCCCTCCTGTTTGGCATAAGATAGAAAAACACGTTTCATTTATTTCCTACCACAGAAACCGTGGAAAGAAGGAAGCAGCTTGGATCCTAGGATTTGGATTCCTGAAACATGGCCTGAATTGAGTTTTCCTCTCAGGTATTCCCCTAGTTTTCCCAGCTATGAAAGAACATTTCCCACATGGTGTTGGATTGCCTGTTTTTTGTTTGTTTGTTCATTTGTTTTTTATCTGTTTCTTGAAGAGTGTGAACTGAGTCTTATTCTATGTGTATCCAGTGAGTACTAATGCATGGAACAAAGGCACATCCAGCAGATACCTGCTGAATGTTTATTATGTAACAATATGATTTGGATGAATGGAGGTGAGCAATGAGGATACCTTTTGTAAATATAGTGTTATTCATTCATTCATTTATTCAAAAAATACTGAATGACCACGATAAGCAGACATCATGTTAGGTGCTAGGGGACAGGGTTAGACATATTTTAATGGACACATTCAGAATATTACCTGGGATGACCAATTCAGCTGTATGGTTTTCCTCAGGATCTAATCTCCTAAAAGTGCAGTAGAAAATCTCATTAGCTGTTGTGTTGATTCTCAGTGCGCTGGTCACATTGAAAAGCTTCTTCTCTCTCTCAGAATTGGTGGTGGTGGTCTTACCACTCAGGACTTGATGGTCACTGCTTGTCCAGATGACTTCGGCCTTGGGATAGCCCTCAGCCTGACATGTTAGCTCGTATTCAGAGGTGACTGGATCCACAACCAAAATTCTTTGGTTGATTTTGTGGTATGGGGCTAGGTCATAAGCAAAAAAAAGTCAGGGCTTTTGTTGAGAACAGAACTAGATACATAGCTTGATGCTGTCCACATTAGAAAGAGTATCAATGCAGACTGGTTCTCAGAGGCATATGCTTAATGTTCGGATGCCTCAACAGTGGGGAACACCTGGTAGCTCTGCGTCAATTCAGTTCAAAGTTGGGACAACTTTTGGGTTCTAGGAATGATTATCTTGCTATGAAAGTCATGTTGGTACATTTATTGGGCTCAAACTAAATGTAAAGATTAATTTACACCAAGACCCCAGACTTCACCACTATGTAATATGTGACAAAACTGCTCTTGTACCCCTTAAATTTCTACAAAAAATAATATAAAGAGAATTATCTTGAAACCAGTAGTCTTTCTATTCAAATATAAAATATATCTCTCCATTTATTCAGGTCTCCATATGTTTCTCAGTAAAGTGCTGTACTTTTTACATAGGGCCCCATTTCTTCTTAAATTTATTCTTGGATATTTTCTTTTTGTTGTTGTAAATCTGTCTTTATAAACATGAATCTCTCCAGCTGGTACACTTTGTTTTCTTAGACTTTATTTAATAAACAGAAAATCTGACTTTAATGTGTCATTTAGTTTTCTGATATGAAGTCAATGATCAGAAATTAGATATGAAAATACATACTGTTTTATCTGTAAACAGTAATACATGTTTCTGGTGATACTTTTTAATGTTCAAATTTATTCTTTATTTTAGAAGTTTTAAATTTACAAAAAAACTGCAAAGATAGTATAGAGTTACTGTATACTCTTTACCCAGTTTTCTCTATTACGTTACCATGGTACAGTCATCATAACTAAGAGCAGTAGTACATTATTAATAAACTTCATAATTTATTCCATTCTTCCAGTTTTTCCATAATATCCTTTTTCTGTTCTGGGATCCTATCAAGGATATCACATTGTGATACTTTTTTTTTTTTGAGACGGAGTTTCGCTCTTGTTACCCAGGCTGGAGTACAATGGCACGATCTCGGCTCACCGCAACCTCCGCCTCCTGGGTTCAGGCAATTCTCCTGCCTCAGCCTCCTGAGTAGCTGGGATTACAGGCATGCGCCACCATGCCCAGCTAAGTTTTTGTATTTTTAGTAGAGATGGGGTTTCACCATGCTGACCAAGATGGTCTCGATCTCTTGACCTCGTGATCCACCCACCTCGGCCTCCCAAAGTGCTGGGATTACAGGATTGAGCCACTTATTTTTTAAGCTTTTAAATGCTGGCTATTTTAATAAATTATTTAAATAATTATTATGCTCAAGGAAGAAAGTTTGATTCAATTTTAGATCACTGGTTTGGGACCCTTCTAGGATTAAGATATCCAGTTTGCTGACAATTCTAGTATATTTTTTAGTGCATCTATATAGCATAAGAGCTTTACTCATGTTTATTCATTACAAGTACTTTAACATGTTCTTATTTTGTTGGTAGAATCTTTGTTTTACTCCTAATAGTATAGTGTAACCACTAATGATCTAGAGCCTTAACTCTCCAATCCTTTACCAAGGACAACAATAGATTTGTGATGTAATTTCTTCACAGAGAGTTAATACAAAACAGTTAGCATCAAGCAAAACTGAAATAAATAATAAGTGATGTCTTGGTACTCCTAAATCAATGAAATCATTGCCAGTGGAAACACTGGAAATCAGTATAATTATGATTTCAAAACACAAAAATAACAGTTCTTATGAGTGGGTTGCTTTGGGGTAGTTATGGATTTTCAAGTTCTCTTACCTAATTTTGACTAAACTAACCATCTTAAGAAATTAAACAACTAATTAAAAAGTTTCCTATAAAGAAACAGAGGATTGAAGATAATACTAATGATTCAAGCACAACCCAAGAGGAAACTGCAGAAGTAACACTTTTTATCAGCCACTATATGAGGTTATAGACAATAAGTACTTAATTAGACCTCACAGTATTATTTTTAAAAAATCTCACGATTGTTGACACTATCCACCTTTGTTAATGATATATTTCACCTAGGTATATTATGCCTTGACATATTAACTAATGATAGTGAAGCATCACAATTACTAAGAATTAAAATGTTGTGTATAAATTTTTATTTTATCCTCTTAAAATGTCTTTTTTTTGTATAAATGTCTATTATGTTGAACCAGATGAAAATGGTAATATTCAACCTCTTTTGCTCTTCAAAAATGGCAATTTCTTATGGTAACAACCTATATGTTAGTAAAAAGTAAATTTTTTATAACTACACACAAATGTGCATGCACATACACACACACAAGTTTAAAATGTTTTACAGATGAGGTGAGTAATTAAAATTTTTTGCAGACCCCTGGTTTACTAGATCTAGAACACTATATAGTATATATTTTAAACACTATAGAACACTATATAATACATACTTTTATCATAGAATATACTAGAGTATACTCTATGCTAGTATTTTTAACCATAGAATATACTATACTCTATATATTTACCATAGAGTATACTATACTAATGTTGGACAATCAAAACCAAGAAAAGGTCATGATAGTTTTGAAGCCAATATATAACTTGACACACACACACCAGAGGTACAAATTCAGACAATAAAATGTGGTTATTAAGGTCTCAGACTTCAGAGCCAATCTGCTTGGATTTAGAACTAGCTTTGTTGTTTACTATCTGCTTTGGGCAAATTACTTAATTTTTTGGACCTCAGTTTCCTCATCCTTAAAATGGAGATAATACCACTTATCATGGAATCAAAGATTCCATCACTGAAAGACACAGTCAGATTTCAGAGACAGTAAAATGTGAAAAATACTCATCTTACATGATGAAGCACCTACCCCATAGAGTCATTTTCAGGAAGAAATGAACTAATTTAGGCAGAGTGTTGTACAGGGTCTAACACACAGAATAAGTAAGTGCTAATTGTAGTAGTAGTAGTCAATACTACTAGCAGAACTGCTCCTCCTTCTCTTTTTATTATTGCTGCTTCAGTGTACCCTTTAGAAGGTGCTAACAGTTCCTTGGAAATAAATTTTTACATATCCAAATCTGTTCATGTTTCCAAAATTTTATACTAATCCTATTTGAGGAAATCATTCATTCATTGACTCAACAAATATTTTTTGTATGCTCTTGTTGCACTAGTACTCTGCTATACACCAAGCCCTGGGGATACAACAATATTGTAAAACAGACCTAAATCCCTGTGCTTGTGGAGTTTATGTTCTAGGAGGAGGAGGAGCGAGACAAGAAACAAAGTAGAAAAGTCTGATATGATATGCTACACAATATACTAGATAGACATAAATGCTACAGAGAACACTTAAACAGAGCTGGGAATTTGGGGGAGAGAAGGGGTTGGTGGGGAATGACAGTGGTTGATATTTGGTCCATATGATCCAAATAGCTTTAGTGGGATAACTATGCAACACTTTGATCTTTCAGCTGCCTAATCTCATTGAAGGACCTGAAAGTCTGATGAACATTTCATTTTCCCTGTTATTAGGTTCAGCGATTAAATAAAAATACTTTTCATTGAAAGTTAGAGGCCTGAAAGTCTGGTATTTAAACTCACAAAAGTGGGAAGGTACAGTAACCCCAAAGTGATCATGATAATTGAGTTAATCCAAAACTAAATTCTTTCAAATTTCAGTTTCAAAATATTTCACCTTTAAAATCCCATGATGAGTAAACTCCTGTGGAGAAGCTGTTACCACACATTTACTGTGATGGGAAGCAAAGCTCAACAGTATTACTGTGAAATCATTTGCATTTGGAGGTGACTCAGGAGTTCTACTTCCCTGAGTTGGAAAGCTCCTGCAAGCAAGCTACCTCATTTCCATTGGAGACGCTGCATACTGAGTGCAAGTGAAGCTTGGTGGCTGGCTTGTTCTAAGTGCAGAAGGTTCAGACTTCTGGTATGGCTCAATTCAACCCCATAACCACTGTATGCAAATAACAAGATGGATTGGGTCTAGAATGCAAATTAAGTAATTTATAATACAAAATGGAATCCTCAAACAAATCAGGTCCTCAAACCTGGGTGGTCATTTGCTTTGCTCCATGAAGAATTTCCCCTTAGAAAAACCATCAGTGCCAGATTTCCTATCATGTTGATCCATAGCAAAGAAAACTGCAGATACATAGGGATATTATGGAGCCCAGATGACCTGAAAAAAACCCTTCCTGACTACAAGGACAGCTGTTCCCTCCCTACACACTCCCTACAGGGTGACGAGAGACCTTCTTTGGAAGTACCTAAACTTTATGCAGCCTTCTTCCTGACTGCCAGGCTTATACTCTTCCTCTCCATCCCAGATCTAGCAATGCTGGCTGTTGATGAGGCTAAGTTGTGATGATTTCTTTAATATCTTGGAACACAGTAGATGCCTGATATTTGCTGATGGACTGGAGAAAAATTGAAAATATAAGCCACAACATCTCAAGAGATGTCATGAATGGAGAAGCATATGGTAAAATATAATGAAAATTAAATCTACTTTACAAGTGAAATCTTCTTGGCAATAGTAGCGTTACTTGAGCCAGAATCAGAGATCAGAAATATATTATAAAACAGATACATTTCTCTTAATCCCTACAGGATTTTGTTTTTTAGTTTATAGTTATCAGTGATCACTGATTAATCATTGGTCAGTGATCAGTGACAAATGTAAACCTTTTCTACTTGTTTTGTTAGCCCTCAGATTGAGGGTAGTTAGCCCAGAGGTAGAAGGTTCAAGGGAATATGATTTAATTCTAGTCAAATATTAAAAGGTCCTCATGTAAACAAAATAATCCCAAACCTACAACTAGAGAGGGCAGATTTCAGCTTATTATTAGGGACTAGTTTCAACAGGATATGTAGGGGAGTCCAAATGGCAGGGATGCCATTGTGGGATATGACAGGGACACCATTGCAGGAAATATATGAATAGAAGATCTTCTGGGGGATTGTTGTTCTTTGTGGGAGTTTGGATTAGCTGCTCCCGCCTGGGATCCTTTCAGCCAGCTCTCAATTCTATGAAACTCAGCAATGAAAGCAGAGGTGTTTTCCTTTACTTAGCTAGTGCCAACTCAAAACTTTGAACTTAAGTGGCCTGATGACATAACTGTGGGTCAATACCAAGGAACCGACGCTAGTTCCTCCTCAATTCTCCAACATCAGTATAGATTTTCAAGATGAATATAGGCCCAGTGAGTATAGTTTTATACTGTACTGGAAGAATAGGTTCCTTTACACTTAATATGATTATTTTTTGCCTTCAGAGTGACTTCAAGTCTTTTTTTAGTGTGAACCTTATAATGGGGTTTGTTCTTAATATATTTATTTGCATTCAATATAGAGAAGCTCAAAAAAAGGAAATTTGACATACCTAATAAAATTACAAAAATAGTAGTTGAATAAAAAAATTTCTGTAAGGACACACAAATAGTGCTTACTCTCTTTGCATGCCATGGGAGACAGTGGTGAAGGGAGGAAGGACACTTTTGCAATTCATTTTATCTCTTCCATAGTATCTGAATTATTTGCAAGTATATGTATTACATTTATAATAATAAAAAAGAAAAGGCTAGGAACTATTTTTGGAAAACTGTACATACTGTAGAACGTGGCTCTGTGTTGTTTGTCTCTGGCTTTCCAGTGACTATCAAATAGGTGCTCAAGAAATGCTAATTGGACGAGTATGTGAATGAATTCATGAATCGAATGAATGAATGAACAGACTATGCTGTTCTGTTTGAAAAGTAAGTATAGACTTACAAGAATGAAAAGTCTTCAACACTTGGAATATGTTTTCAATAAAGATCAGGCCTCTCATCTGTAGTAATTCTTACCATTGACTTTCACAGTAATCCGCTTGTAGTCAGCACCACCATAGCTGATCATGCAGCGGTAAACTCCTGCATCCTGCAGTTTTACATCTGTGATCTGAAGTGCAGCAATTCCCAGGGAGAGCTGGTTCTTCAACAGCTGGGCCCTCTGTCTGTAGCTACTATGCTGAACCTTCAGGTCTTCCTCTCCATGCACAAATTGAATAATATTCTTATCCTCCATTTCCCAATAGACAATTAGTGAAGTCAGTTCTAACTGTTTTTCTACTGGGAATTTGCATTCAAGTGTCATATTGCTGCCATACTCTACCACATATAGGTCCTTGGGAACCGTGACAGTAAATGCTAAAAAGAAAGAAGAACAATCTTCAGAAAAGGGAAAATTCCTCAAAACATTTACAAAATTGGCACAGTTTTAAAAATCACTTTGTTATAGTGATGTTATACTGATGGTCAATTATGTTATAACTATATTTAAGAACTTGCTTCCCTAAAATACATAGTTTATCAGTGGGCTTGAAATATGTTTTGGGACACTCTATCTTATGCCGAGACACAGTGTCCCAATAACAGAATAATAAAATTAGCTAAACAAGTTGTCCCCACTATTTATAAACATAGGTTACTGTAGAAATATATGGAGATGGAGTACTTACAACCAGGGAGACTTGGTTTCATACAGACATCCCCAGAATGTCCTTTGACTGGACGCCTGTTTGCTTCCTACATACAGGGAATGGTAGATTCTAACAGTCATCTCTTTTTACTTCCCTAAACTTTTGATCAGTTTTCTGGTAAGAAGTACATTGGTACGGAGTTCAGGGAAGACCACAGGGTGATGCCATTACTGTGTTACCCTGATGTTTTCCATGCATCCTAAAATCCTTCCTTAGAGTATCCTCATCAGGAAAGGCATGTCACAGAGCAACCAAGACTGAAAGATGCTGGCTTTGTTGAAAACAAACAAATAAAAGTATACATACAGGCAGTTTTCCCAGATATTTTCAGTAGTTATCCCTAGGAAATGGATAATGGATTATTTTGTGTCTTTTGATTTGTCTATATTCTCTATATCTTTACACAGGTGACAAAGTCACCTGTGTAAAGAAATACTTTGTCATTGTGTAAAGTAGAAGAAAGAATAGAATGTTCTCTCTATAAGAAAGTTGCATACATATTAAACTATCATTTTAGTTTTAAATTCATGGTTAAAATATTTAAAATATAGAACCTAATGGAAGCATTTGGTGTCTTACCATTCAGCAAATGCCAGTAGGTCATGAATATAAAAACAGCAAATATCCTCATCTTTCTGTAATAACCTAATAATGGAAAACACAAAAAGAAGACTGCTTTACTTAATAATTAAACATACAATATGACAGTATGGGACTTAGTAGTTCTAATTGAGATAGTCTTCTAATAACCATTCATGATTGACTTGTAATTGTGGAAACCCAACAGGGAATTCAAAATTCAATACCTTCATTTTATAGCCCACAGCCATATAAAGTTAAGTGAAAAAAGTTACTACAAGATGAGTAGTTTCTAATTTATTATAGAAAAAAACCTACCCACACAAAAGAAGCCAAGAAGATAATATTGCACCAAACTCTTCTCAACTAGTTCATGTTTTTTCTGCATTGTAACGTACCGAGTAGAACCTGCCCTGTACAAAATTTCAAAGCAAGAAGAATCTGACTTTTATTTCTCCATCTTGTCAATGCTTTTTCCCCCTACAGCTAAATACTTTCATCTTACCCTTTAGCTATTCAAGACTTCCACTTCACTATCTCAGCCATGCTAGTCCTCCTTCAGGTGCCATCCTTCAAAATCTCCTCTTCTGTACCTCTCACTTATTCTAATTATAAATCTATTCTCTCAATAAACAGATTCTTCTAGTAACAGTGGGAAGGAGAGAGAGTTGGATTTGACTAATTCATACTAAGATATCAATGACTCATTCTTCCAGAGGTATCTGTCATTCTTCCAGAGTCATTCTTCCAGAGGTATCTGAATAGATTCTATTCTTCATTCTGTCATCCTACTGTAAATTTACTAATTCTTTCATTCAGCAAACATTGATTGAGCACCTCTTCTGCATTAGGCACTATTTTAGGCATGGGGAATACAGAAGTCAGCAGGAAAGAAAAGTCACTCTCCTTTTGGAGCTTACATTGAAGTAGGGGAGTGAAAGATTTATACTGGATTTCAGCCAATCTATGCATTTATTAGTATTTTCTCTCTCTTGTGTTATACATATATTTACAAACTTTGACAAGAAAAAGGTAAGTTTTCCCTTAGTGCCTCTCCAACCTTTGTATACAGACGTGAACGCACAAATGATCAACTAATTAATGCCACATACATATAAGACAGGAAATCAATGTTCCTAATATATAAATAGTTCCTAAAAATCAATAAGACACCTATACAAACTACACATAACCCATGAGGAAAAAAAGTGAAAGGTCATAACATAGTTCAGAGAATAAGAAATACAGGTGACATGTAAACATAGAAAAGTTGTTCAGTCTCACAATTGATATTTTTAATCTATTATATGAAATACCATTTCATATTTTTTTGGTGTTCTGTGTCCAAATTTTCACTTATTAGCTTGACCACAATCATAAATATTTCTAATATTTAGTGTCTGTGAAGCTATGAACAAATAGGCTTTCTCACCCACTAATGGGAGGAATGTAAAGTTGTTTTCACTCTTTATTGTTTTTAAAAGGAAAAAAAGTTTTCACTCTTTGTTGTTTTTAAAAGGTAAAAGGGAAGGAAAAGACAGAAAAAGAGAGATGAGATTATGGATTTTTGATTTTTTTTTGGTGTTCTGTGTCCAAATGTTCACTTATTAGCTTGACCACAATTATAAGTATTTCTTATATTTAGTGTCTGTGAAGATATGAGCAAATAGGCTTTCTCACCCACTAATGGGAGAAATGTAAAGTTGTTTAACTTTTTTATGGGGCACTTTGATACTTCCTATTACAATTTTAAATGTGTATATCATATGCATTAACCCTCTCCTAGAAATCTATCATACTAAAACACAAACACACACACACATGTATATAACAGTATATGTAAAGGAAGAGCATTACTCATAACAGCAAACAGAATATTCTAGATTGCCTAAGTGATTAAATAAATTTTTACATATTCACAAAATATAATACCATTAAGGACCAAATTCAGCATATGTAAATGTACTGATTTTGCAAACATGTAGGAAGTAAGTTGCAAAACAATATATGTCCACTTTTGATTGAAAAAAAGTATGTGTGTGTGTGTGTGTGTGTGTGTGTTTAGACACAGGAAATGTCCAATATATTGACAGTGATTATACTTAGGAATTAAATTAGAGTAAGAACAGGTAGATTTTCACTCTTACTGTTTTTAAAAGGAAAGGGGAAGGAAAAGACAGAAAAAAAGAGAGATGAGATTATGGATTTTTGATTTTTTTTTTTTTTTTTTGGTGTTCTGTGTCCAAATTTTCAAGTGAATGAATGTTTTACTTTTAGTATCAGGAAAAAAATAAATAAACAAAATTTTATTGATCATTTCACCTCTCCAAACTGTAGAATGTTTAGCAGACCAAGTAACATAATGGAAAGAACCCCAAAATGGAGTCCAAACACCCAAACTGAGATAGAATAACATTCATTTATTTTTATGTCTTTTTTCTTTATTATTAAGGTAATATAATGAAATTACAGAAAATGAGAAAAGAAGAGGAAAATCACCTACTGTTACATCACTCTTACTTAGGGAGCATCTGGTGATGCCTGGAAACATTTTTTGTTGTCAAAATTGGGCTGGTTGAGGGAGGGTTGCTATTAGTATATAGGGGTCGAGGCCAAGGGTGCCGCCAAACATCCCACAGTGCACAGGCCAGCCTCGTAAGTATTTCTGTGTTCAGCAAATATCTGTTCAGTGCCTACTGTGTGCCAGGCCCCAGGCTGGGCCCTGAGGATAGATTGCCCCAAATAGTATTGTTGATCAAAGAAAAAGAATGTTTTTCTGGTTCTTGACATATGTTGATAATTGGTACCATTACATTCTGCTTTCACCCAGAATTGGGTATTGTTTAAAAAAAAGTTTTTTAAAATTTTTGACCCAGATTTGAAAGATCTGACCATTTTTTGGTCTGTTTATGTCACTGGTTTCTTATCAACCTATATGAGCCCTTTATATTAAAAGAAAAAAAGGTAAGTAAAATAAAATGAGTCATCATCCTCTTGCCAGGGTTACGTACATATTTCTTATTTTTCTCTTTTCCATCTATCCTGCAGATGGGGAATAGTGATGGCATCAGGTCTGTGAGGTCACGAAGTTTGCTAAAATGGGGCTGCAGCATCTATCGGACTATCTTTTCCTTGGGCCAGAGTTAATTGTATAGTTATAAAATATTAATGTGATATTTTATAATTATTGTATTATAAACACAAATACGCTCACTAGTCAGAAGAAAACTTAAGATACCCCTAATCTCAAGCAAAGCATTACAACTATATGTGAATAAAACAAAGGGACATTAAATCTAGTCATGGATTACAACTAATTTTGCCAATGTTTATGGTCCACTCTGGTGGAGTTCTATCCTTTAATGAATTTAGTTAAAATTTTTAGGAGTAATAAAGGTTTCCTGGAAAGTGATTGATTACAGCCAATATTTACCTAATTTCTCATCAAACCCTCTCTTCCACAGCTCCATTTCCTTGGAGTGCAGCTGTCATTATTGAGGGACGAAAAGGCAGAATACAAAGATCATGTAAATACACACGGTCTTTAACCTCCAAACCTCACATCAGGGCAGTTGGTTTAAGAGAGGAAGACTGACATCTCCTTCAGGTAAGAATTATGACCATGGGTGAATTCCCGTATCCGAATGGAGACATTCAAAGAGCAATGAAATGTAAACTGGGGAAGAAGTGATGGCTCATTCAGGTTGGGGAAGTGGGTTTGTCCCTGGGGGAAGCCCAGTATAATACTCTGGAACTGATACTACTTCTCATCTTCCAAGGGTAGATAGGGTAGGAGGAAGAGATAGAGAAAAAGTTAAGAGGCCGGGTGCAGTGGCTCACATCTGCAATGCCAGCACTTTGGGAGGCCAAGGCAGGCGGATCACAAGGTCAGGAGCTTGAGACCAGCCTGGCCAATATGGTGAAACCCTGTCTCTACTGAAAATACAAAAATTAGCCCAGCATAGTGGCGGGTGCCTATAGTCCCAGTTACTCAGGAGGCTGAGGCAAGAGAATTGCTTGAACCCAGGAGGCAAAGGTTGCAGTGAGCCAAGATCACACCACTGCACTCCAGCCTGGGCGACAGAGTGAGGTTTGGTCTCAAAAAAAAAAAAAAAAAAAAAAGGTTAAGTTTTCTTTCTCAAAAGTAAGAGCAAGAGGCCCACATGGTGACTCACACCTGTAATACCAGCACTTCTGGAGCCTGAGGTGGGAGGATCACCTGAGGCTAGGAGTTCAAGACCAGCCTGAGCAACAAAACCATAGCCCCATCTCTACAAAGAAAAAAAAAATTTTTTTTAAGTAGGATCAGGGATTAAGAGAGTTGATTTATTAAGGTTCTACTAAGTGATCAAACTTTATTAAACTCTACTAAACCCCATGCCCAACCTCCTTCTCAGTCACACTGAGACACTCTTGTACATTTTCCATGTGGGGTTTCAATTCCCCACAGTATTTCTGTGACTTCCTTGAAGACCGCAGTCTAACTGCTGACATGTAGCCTCTGCCTACCTGCTTCTACTGAGAAAGGCTAAGTTTTTCTTCAGAGTATCATAGTTCTCTTAAATACTGTTGACAGCTGTCATTGTCCTATACATCCTTTCTTGAAAGCATTTTCAGTTTTTATCAAAAGGCCTTTAAAATATTCAGTCTTTGACTAAGTAGTTACACTTCTAAGTTTACTTGAAGGAAATAATCAGCAATGTTCCAGAGATATACATGCAATGATGTTCAGTGAATGGCTAAGACAGAACCATTGTAAATAACCTTTGTGTCCAACAGTGAAGAATTAATTTCATTTAGTTACCCAACTTAATCGAATGCAGCAATAAACACGTTTTTAGAAGATTATTTAATTCATAGAAACGCATCCACAGTACATTTTTTTCAAGTATTAAAAAAACGAGGTAGAACAATGGTACTTTTTTTTAATCCTTGTGTTATAATACAAACCCAGACTGAACTTTGACAGGCCAAGGTCAATGTGTCTAAGACAAGTTTGATTATACTATTTTTATTCTTAGGCTCCTCCACTGCTCTTTTAGGACTCCTTTGAATTAGTTCTCGGAAT